CTGCAACAGAAAGAAAAAAAAAAAAGAAAAAAATAATCAAACGACGAATTATTAATAAATATGTTTACGAATGGATTGTACAAGAAAATTATTTTTCTTTTATTATTTCCGAATTTATTATATTAACAAAATATTATATTAACTAGAATTTTATAATAAAATGTATGATAAAATGATTTTTTATTATAATAAAATAATCTTTTTTTTTTTTTTTTTTTTAATTAATTAAAATTAAAAAAACATGTTCTCGACGGATTTTACAATGTAAGAATTTTTATTACATTAGAATATATTGTATTAGAACATGTTCTCGGTGAATTTTATAATGGAATAATTGTTTGTTTTTATTTTGTTTTCGTAAATTATTACATTATAAAATGTTTCGTGATGGATTGTACAGTAAAATAATTTTCTATTGTCTGTTAAACGTAATAATATGTTTATATTGATTTATATCATTGGAAACAGATAAGTCTTACGATTGTTAGAACATCAAATTGACGATGTAAACATTCGTAACAATTCAAATATTCGAACGAAAGTTAGAAACTACGAAATCAAAGAGAAAGGAAGAAAAAAAACAAGAAGAGAAAATCATTAATAGTTGTGGAGAATCGATATAGGTTAAACAGAAAAAGGGATATTTTTTTAAATTCTCTATCCTTCTTTCGTTTCATCCAAATTTCAATTTAACTCTTTCTAACATTCTCTTTTTACATAGCACGTGTTATACAATGTAACGTAAGTCACGTAAACTGTTACCAACTAATTTCTTTATTAAAATCAATTCTTCTCTTTTTTTTTTTTTTTATTATTATTATTAATTATTCAATGATCACCGTGAACAGATACGGAAAAATATAACTTTATATATATATATATAAAGACGATGTCATATTTAGAAGTTATTAGATAATTAAGAAGTTCTAGAATAATTGATTTTTATATATTAAATATGTAATTTTGTCGTGTCCCATTATTTACTTAAAAAAAAAAAAAAAGAAGAAAAGGAAAAGAAGATATAATTTTAATATCAGAGATAATAAAAGCCTTTGTGGTGACACTTCACAAGACCCATCTTGTGTGTACATATAAATATACACAAATATATATACTTATGTACATACATATATATATATATATATATATATATATATATATACACACATGCGCAGATAAACATACATATAATATATATATGTATATATTTTGTTTAGTTCTCGAAAACGTTTTCACATGGAATTGAAACCCAACGAGGAGCGCAAACACTGATCCTTTTCTTCTCCGTCATGGTATTTTCTTCCCCTTCATTCTGCATTTTTCTTTTTTCGTACGTTTCTCTTCCTTCTCTATCTCTCTCTATCTCTCTCTCTCTCTCTTACTCTGTCGCTCACTCTCCCATTCTTACTCACTCTCTTTCTCTCTTTTGGATACGTCGAGCCACGCCTGAATTGTCGTAGATTTTCTATGGGTGCCGTAGACCACCGAGAAAATTCGTTCCAGAGAACCTGTTTATATTCCTGCGGTGGGAAAAATCGCGAAACTTTATCACAACGAGCACCCGTTCTCGGGTACCCCAGTCTTTCTTTTTTCTTTTTTCTTTTTTCTCCTTTTCCTCTCTTTTTCCTCTTTCTCTTTTTCCTTTTTTTTCCTTCTATCCAACGTTCCTCTCGTTTTCCTTCGATTCAACGTCGCAACTCGAATGGAAAGAGTTCGAGTATAACGATCGCTAAGTATCTATCAAAGCTAGAGTACAACATGATTTATTGGGCCGTATGAATAAAACGAAATTGAAACGGTTTGCTTTATCAAAAGAAACTTCAAAAAATAAAACTGTTATTTCTAATAAAATCGAACATTTTTGATTGTTTGTTTGTTTTCTTTCTTTCTTTCTCTTTTCTTCTTTCGATCAATTTCGATCTTTCGTGAACAAAAAAAAAAAAAAAAAAAAGAAAAACAAAAAGAAAAAGAAAGAAAAAGATGAAGAAGAAGATTGATAAAATTTCTCGAATGTTGAAATCGTAGAGTAAAAGAAGGTCGCGAAAATTTCGCGCTCGCACGACCGTATATTTGTCCGTTGAATTCGTGAGTCTACCGACCAAGCCACTAGCCATTCGTGGTCCTTCGACCGCACACGAATTTCCCATCCCATCCGGAAATTCGTGTTCTTGCTTCCGTCGAGCACGAGAAACTGCAGCCGTATTTTTCGCTTTGTACCAAAGCCTTCGAGAACCTTTTGCCTAATGCAAATGCTGAGTTTTTATCGTACGTGCACCGATAAATCCGATATTTATACTTCCACTTGGACGCTTTTTCTACATTTATCCTTTTTCTTTCCTTTCTTTCTTTCTTTTCTTCCTTTCTTCGTTACGGATTCTAACTTTGTAAGTTTTCTTCCTTCTCACGTGAAAACTAGCGAAAAGGAAATTTTTCAAATGAGAATAAATATAAAACTGCGCGACATTTACTTGTCATAACGTTACTTAAGAAATAAATAAATAAATAAATAAATAAAATAAAAAAAAAATAATAAAAATAAAAAAATAAAAATAATAATATATAAATAAATCAATCTGATTGATGTGAGGGTGAAGGTATCCTTATACGATGATATAGAGACACGTGGTAAGGGTAAAACTTGACGAAAGGGAAATGAAAAGGCAATCGAATTGCGTGAAATCGAGTCGTCGCTGATGCATGACTATTCACGAAGTCATAAAAATAGAAAAAAAAAAATAGAAAAAAACAAAAAAGGAAAGAAAGGATAGAAGCGACAAAAGGAGTGAAAGATTTTTATCTGAAAATAAAAAAATGAAAAAAAAAAAAAAAAAAAAAAGAAAAAGAAAAAGAGAAAAAAATGTCGAAGCAACGTTTCTAACAATTTTTTTTCTTTCTTCATATATAGAAAACATGATAATTCATCTTATCGATACTATTTTTGTTATCAAGATTTAAATACGTATGCGTGTGTACGCATGCACACAGATACACACATACATAGATACACACATACACGCACATACGCACACACACACACAAACACATTCGTATAAACATTGAATACATAAGTAAATTCGATTTATGATTCAGAACGTGATACTCATTTTTTTCGTGATAATACTTTTGTATCGCCATTTAAATAGATATGTATACGTACGTCTATATACAAATACACATAGACAGAATGTATGTATATAGGTAAATTCGATTTACGCGAGGCAATAAATAATACCGCGGAGACACGTTTCAATTACTCCGAACGATGTATGTCCCCGGAGGATAACTGACTATTCTCCATCGTCTATCATGCTAGGATGACCAATCGGTTCTCGTTTACGGTGCTTGCAGCCATGGCTACTGATTTATCGCGGCCACGTTAAGACAGACCGTGTAACGACTCCATTTAGCCCATCTTCTCTCCTCCCACTCTAATCTCTCTCTCTCTCTCTCTCTCTCTCTGTTTCTCTTTGGTATTCCATTCATGAATGTTGTCCTTTAATTAATAAAATTTCCCTAGATTCATATGTTTCTTTTCATTCAACATAAATCGTATATATTTAACTTTTATTTATACATATATGTGTGTGTGTATGTGTGTTGAAAAAAGAAATTTTATTTATACATATGATACGTATACAACGATTTACGTAAATCTTTAAAGAAACGTTCGAAATTATTTCTTAGTTATTGTTTATTAGAAAAGTAAAATACAGATCGTAATTGTGATTAAACGAAAAGAGAAAAAAAAGAAACGATAAAGAAATTGAAATTTAAAATTGAATTTTAAGGAAATATTATAAAAGTTGTTAAGGTCGCAAAGAAACCTAGATTTACAAGTAATATCTCGATTTGTGAATACACTCTAAACTTACAAATAAACATGATCATATAGATTTGGCGTATACTCGAGTTAGTTCAACATATGAAAAAGAGAGAAAGAGAGAGAAAAAGAGAAAGGTAGAGAGAAAGCTTTCACGCTCTTATTCGAACTCTATAGCTACACCATTTGAGTACTTCCCTTCGCTCTAACGTTTCTCTACGATCCTCTCTCGTGTTTTCATTTCACTATTTTACTAAAGGATGCAATCGTGGCGCGAGTAAAACGAGCCGAAGCTCGTACAAGAAAATGGAACACGCAACAAAGTGGATTTTAAAAAGGCAAGAACTAACTTGTTACAAATGTTTCTACCTCTTGTCCCTTTTTAAATTCTAACGAGGATCCATTCTCGAATATAATTAATTATTTAATACAAAAATATTCTCATATCTTTCATTATTATTAAATAATATATAAGTATCTTATCTTGTTTCATAAAAAAAAAAAAAAAAAAACATTTACGATCAGAGTTTCAATCGAAATGAATATTGATTTATTGAACGTATTTTTAACTTTAATTTCGATTAAAAAGAAATCTGGGTTAAATTTTGATAAATAAATAAAAACACATGCACACACACACTCACACACATACATATATACATACATATACGCATACACAAAAAAAATATGCATATACAAAAAAAAAAGAGAGGGAGAAAAAGAAAAAAGAAGAAGAAACCAAAATGAATATTAACAAGGGATAGCGGATCATGGGAATGAAAGTTAATGCAAGGTTTGAAAGTATTTATTTTTTCTTTTCCAGAATCAATATGCATGATGACTCTGAAAGCTTCCTGTTACTTTGTTACGAAAAAGGTGCCTTACTCGGTAGCTATCGCATTCTTCCGCATAGCAAAACTATACTGGCATAACCACTATTGACGCTTCTGCACTGTGCGCTGGCTTCGTGATAACGTCAAATGGAGGTGCGTTACACGTATACCGAGTTAAAATGTCTGTGCATATATATATATATATATATGTACATGTATATCGAATGAACGATACAGAGAATACGATGAACCTAGTTTACGTGGCTTAATACAGAGATACGAGAACTAAAATGTTTTTAATATGAACAGTGCCTTTTGAAATATTGGGAATAAAGTAAAAAATTTTG